GTATCTTTACTTGTTGTGCAAAAAAAAAGTTAATATAGCAACCCTTAGATTCCTTTCCTTAGAAATTCCTGCTTGCAAGATGGACCCTTGGCTGGCATCTGGAAATTTGGATTTAGGGAGTGTTCCCCACCATTCCCTAAATAATGAGTGCCTAAACTGTGCAAAAATATGTGCTGACAACTGCTTTTCTTCTAGGAGTCTAGAATTTTGGTATGTACTAGTTACAGGGTGCCTACATGACCAGCCCTCCCAAAATGTTGGGCACTGAGTCTGTAATGACTTCTTCTGGGAGGCAGTATTTTACAGATGCTGTCACAATTCAGTGCTAGAGGAATTAAGTACATTCTGTGTGACTCATAGGTAGAGGACTCTTAGAAGCTTGCACCTTGTTTCCTATGCTGATTTTCCCTTGTACCCTTTTGCTGTAATTAGTCATATTTACGAGTATGACTATATGTTGAGTCCTGCTATTCCTCTCAGTGAATCACTGAACCTGGGAGTGGTCGTGGGGACCCCTGACACAGAATTATCCAGACTTTCTATTTTCTTTTGAATCAGTCTCAGCAGTTTGTGCCTTTCTAGGAATATGTCCATTTCATCTAAGTTACCTAATTTGTTATCACATAATTGTTTATAATATTCCCTTATAATCTTTTTAATTTCTGTTAGGTGAGTAGTGATGCCCCTCTTTTATTTTGATCTTAGTAACTTGGGTATTTTCTCTTTTTGCTTTGATCAGTCTAGCTACAAGTTTGTTGATTTAATTGATCTTTTCAAAGAATCAGCTTTTGGTTCCACTGATTTTCTCTATTATCTTTCTATTCTATATTTCACTTCTTTCTAATCCAGTATTTATTTTTTAATGGTGGTACTGGGGATTGAACCCAGGACCTTGTGCATGCTAAACACACTCTACCACTGAGCTATACCCTCCCTCCTGATCCAGTATTTTTTTTCTTTCTTCTGTTTGCTTTAGGTTTAGTTTGGTCTTTTTCTAGCTTCTTAAGATGGAAGGTTAACTTATTGATTTGAGATCTTTCTTCTTTTTATTTTAATAGAGGCATTATCAGCTATAAATTTCCCTCTGAGCACTGCTTTAGTTGTATTTCATAAGTTTTGGTATGTTGTGTTTTTACTTACCCTCATCTCAAATTATTTTCTTATTTTCCTGGTGATGCCTTCTTTGATCTCTTGATTATTTAGGAATTTATTATTTAATTTCCACATATTTATTAATTTCCCAAACATCCTTTCCTTCTTGATTTCTAATTTCATTCCACTATGGTCAGAGAAGATGCTTTGGAAGATTTTAATCTTTCTAAATGTATTGTAGCTTGTCTTATGGCCTATCACATGGTCTCTTCTGGAGACCGTCCATGTTCACTTGGGAAGAATGTAATATAATCTGATGTTTTGGAGTTTGAAGTCTCTTTTACCGCCTCCCCTTTGTCTCCTTCACGGAAGCCGGTGTGAGAGTAGTGCAGAAGAGGATGTTGCTGCTGCTTTTTCTTGCCCGGCCTTCTGGAGTGAGAGAATAAGCAAATAGTGCCGAGTTCACCTAATTGATTCCTGATGCCCTTCCAGTTTCCAAGACCCTCAGATACGCTTGGCTTCTCCATAACTAGCTGTGATTTCTCTTCCTAGATGCTTATGACAGTGAAATGTGTTTCTTCCCACAAGCGAAGCAAAGTGAGAGCTCTTGCTCTTCCCTACTCTGAGTGGTCCCCCCAGGAGCACTCCCACTTAGGAGCCGGTCAGAGCTTCTTTAATGGCTGAATTTGGTCCCAAGCCATCATACTGATGACAACCCAAAGGAGTGCTGGTTTGGTGAGATTAGAGCTTCTACCTGCTATAATAAATTCCCACTTGCCTTTCTGGCAAGGCCTACACCAACATCATTAAAGTTGTCCTTTCTACTCCTGTTTCCCCATATACCCGGAAGTAAGTTACCACATCCTCTTCCTTCTTTTTGAAATCTGTAAAGGATTCTTTTGGCTGCAGCTAACAGAAAACCATCCCAACCGTACATTGAGTAATTAAGAGTTTATGTTCCTCATGTAACAAAGACTGTGGGGACAGACAGTTCTGGGGCTGGTGCAGTTGATCGCTGATCCGCCCCAGGACCCAGGCTGTTTGTATTTTCCCACTGCAGTATCCATAGCAAGTGTATTTCCTTCTTATGCCTGCGGCCACATGGTCACAAGGTGGCTGCAGCACCTTAAGACCAAGTCTTGAACTAGGGAGAAATGGTAGGGAGCAGAGCCAAGCTAGCATATTACAAAGCTTTTCCAGAAGCCCCACCCAGCAACTTCCACTGATGTCTCATTATTTAAGCTTACATCACATATCACCCCAGGCCAACCACTGAAAGACTGAGAAAAGGGTAGAAAAAAGGGAGAAATGTAGGGGAGAGAGGGAGCAGTGGCCAGTCAACCAGCAGTGTTAAAGTGGTAAGTGGTAAAGCCTTAAAAATCAGAAGTAAGGGCAGGGGTAGGGGAGGATGACTTTAGTCAGACTGAGCTTGAAGTATGACATGCCATTCAATTCTGTCCCTGTCACACCTGTTCTAGTAAGAGTCAACCCCTGCCTTCTAAAATCTAACCTCCCTGGCACCTTCTGTACCAAAGTCACTAGCCACAATGTAAATATAGACACCTTGCCACCTGCCTTCTGCTGAATTCAGCATCCAACTCATGCTCCTTTCTTTAGAATTAGCAGAAGCATATTCTAAAGTACTTAGCTGTCATCTCCAGTCATTAAACACTGTTCAATTTGAGGACCCCAAAGGTTAGTCTTCTGAGACATCCCCATGCCACTGCCTTTTCTCAGCCTCAGATACCTGCTTTGTCATTTACCCATTTCCATCGAGTACATTTTCCTCTCTTCCTTCCAGAGCCTTCTGCCAACCTCTCTGTAAATCAGCCCAGAAGTTTTAAAGCATTCTCTAAAAACCTTTCAACTCAGTCTCATCCTAGCCCTCTGACAGGTCCCACATCAGGAGTTACCTTTGAGAGACCACACCCCTTTCTGCGTACCTGTTCTCTAACAGAATCTTAGCTATTGTCTCAAAATCAATAGACTCAAACTCCAGGGAATCATAATTTTTCTGTGTGTCACATTCAAAGTTTCTTAGTAATCCCAGGATGTAGCAGTTGTGAATTTGTCCCAAAACTCTGAAGTACAAGAAATGTCACATTGCCATAGTCTCAGCCCCCAGGGAGTTGCCACAGTGGCAAGATCCTCTGTTCTCTACTTTGTCTTAGGAAAGTGACCAACTGCCCCCGTTCGCCCAGGACTGAGGGGTTTTGGGGGATGCAGGACTTTCAGTGCTTAAAGTGGGCAAATTGGAACCACTGGTCATCCTAAGTCTTGGACAAACATTAGTTTACAAGCCTTCTGCTTATTATATAGTATAAGCTCTAAGAGGGCAAGGAACATGTCTAATGAATTTCTTTATATTCATGCCTAGTGCTTGGGACATAATAGGCATTCAATCAATTTTTAATAAACAATTTACAAACAAATGCATGAACCAGGATAAAAATAGAAGATTAAAATAATAATAATCCAAAGCCTGTGCCACATCAGAAGTTACCTGTGCCAACTGAAATGGAGGGAGCTGCAACTTCCTAATACCTCTTCCAGAGGCTTAAAGAGGCCACGTCCTCAGAGCAGGGCAAATTCTCCCCACGCACACATACCCCAAGACTTCTCTATCATTTATTTCCGGTTTGATGTGTTTGAGAAGCATCAGGTAGCTCTCTCATACGTTTTGGATCTGTTCTTCAGAAATCAGCGAATCTCCAGATATAAGCCACAATGTTAAGAAAGCATGAATTTCTGAAAGTATCTACCCCCTGCCTGGCTTACCAGACCTTCTCAGAGTTCTGTGCTGCCCAGAATGATGACACTGCTCTAATTAAAGTGTCCAAAATCTTCCCCACCACCGCCACCCCAGCATGTGCGCTCTGGGGTATAATTCTGATGCCACAGCAGGTTTTTTCTGCTTCACGGTGTCGCTTTCCACTTGTCTTCCACAAGACACTGATACTTACTCTATCCCCTGAAGATTTCTTTCTCCTCTTTGCCTTTCCTCCTGTGTTATTTCTTCCAACTTTTCATGTAAGTCAGAGTGGGCAGAGCGAGTGTGCTTGCTTTCACCTTATGTAGCAAAGACGCTGTTATGTACCAGCTGTAACTGATGACCACCTCAAGCAAAAGGTAACAATTTAAAGATCATTGTAACAGTTCTGACCGGATAGCTCCTGGAGTTTTGAGATGTTCCTTGAAAAACAACCACAGAAAATTGCCTCATTTCTATGCCTGGCTTAAAAGGGTGCAAAGTGTCACCCCTCTGTTCTGCAGTGCCCTTCACTCAGAGTTGCTCCCCCCCCCCGAATTCTAACCCCTTTTTTCCTTCATCCTGTGACTGGCTGAGTTGATCTCAAGGGCCCTGTCCGTATCCACCTCCCTGTTGTACCAAAGCTTTCCTCTCCCTTCTGTCTCCTCCTGTCTTCGCAAGTGACTTTGACCACCTTCTTCATAAGCCCTCTCTGGGCGTTCCAGGGACATTGAGCAATCAGCCCACTCTAACCCCAGCTGTGCAACACAACCAGCCTTCATCACCAGCAAAATAAGACCTGAATTTTCACAACACTCCACAAAAGTCTGTTACAAGACTCTGCTTTTAAGAATTACAGTTCTTAAAACTCCATATTTACCATTGAGTAATGCCTTAGTGCCCTCTAGAGTGAACACCTGCTTCATTTCATCCCTGCATTGTTAACCCTTTTGTGTATATCCCCAACCTGGGAGTTAAGAGCTGGACCTTGGGGCACTGATGATTCAGAGACAAAGTCCCCCCGCCCCCCCAGGGCCAGGGGGAAATGGGCCAGCCCTTCCCACTGCCCCTAGAGGGACGCTGGGAGCCTTGACTGGGGCCGATCTTCACATGTGCCAGAGACCAAAGATGAACCTGAGTTTACGTACGTCTGTTTCAGAAAAGAGAGTGGCTGCTGTTGGCCAAAGGGGAGCCCCCAAGCCGAGGCCACAGCCTGAGGGAGGCCGCCAGCACCTTCTACGTGATCCTGCCGTCATGCTCTGCCACTCTGCTGGTGAGGGCGGTGGCCACCCGGGAGCTGCTGCTGCCCAGCTCTTTCCCCTTGCTGCCTGAGGACCTGCCTGCTGACAGCCTCAGGACTGTGGAGGCAAGTGGGCCCAGATCTCATGGCTTAGAGGGGGAGAGAAGAAACAGGAGTTTGAGAAACAGATGAGGGAGAGGAGTGAGCCAGTGAGGGAAAGCACAGGGGAGCAGAGAGAAAAGTGGTTCCCCAGGGGAAGAGGGGCAGAGAAGAAAGCAAGGGTAGGAACTGAGGCCAGATGGAGGGAGGCAAGTGTGTTCTCACGGGTCTTTCTCTGCAATACGTGTACGCATGTGAGTGTACCTTTGTTTGTGTGCATCTGTTTCTGTTTTGTAAAGAGGAAAAGGCAGCCAATGCAGGTGCCAAGAATAGGAAGGGCTTTAAAATGAGACTCCGATGTAAAGGAGGGAACAGCTCTGAAGGCCATTTTCTCCTCCTCTTTCATGTTGGATCTGGATTCTGGATTTCCTCTGCCAGACTCCCCAGGCTGAGGATGGGTCGAGGGGTGCTCTGGGCAGGAAGAACTGGAACCAGGTCGTTGCTTCTGGGCTGCTGGCTTACAGGCAGAGAGGACAGAGCCTGGGATTGTGCTGTTGGCTTGGCGGCCGCAGGGATGCAGAGAGAGGTGGGCATGAGTAGCTATGGCTCACTCGGCGTCTCACTTCAGGGCCAGTGGTTCCTGGCACAGGATGTTGTGGCCGGAAAACCTGACAGCTCAGGAATGCTGTGCTCGCGTGTCCTCCAGTTACACTCACCTCACAGGCTGAGGACTCTGTGTACTTGCTCTGCAGATGTGAGCACCGGCACACCCTCCCTCACAGCCTTGCACACTGGATCCCTTGTAACCCTCACAGCACACTGGTCCCTCGTAGGATCCCGTGACACAGTTCCTGGGGCCAGAGTGTTCAGTGCTCCTAACCACCTGGAGTTGCTCCTGTTTCTTGTACCCTGCCTGACACTTACCGCACAAGCACTCAGACCTGGGGGCCAGAACACCCAGCAGGACACGCATCTGTTTTACAACCTTCAGTGAAGCCCTGGGTCATCACACCTCCCCTGGCTTCCCACACTCAGGGGTCTCCGCCGGGCATCTTGTTTTCTGTGACCTCAAGTTCCCCAGTGAGGCTCCTCCTCTCTCTTCCTCAGAGCATGCTGGACGACCTGGAGCTAGAACCCACCTACAACCCCTTGCAGGTTTGGAGCCACCTCTACCCACACCTGAGCAGCACATTTGCCAAGCCTCAGGGCCAGCTCCACCCAAGCTGGGAGAGCCGGGGCCTGAGAAAGGTACTTCCCTCTCCCCTCTTTATGCCCAGAATCCCAGAGAGTCCTCCTCCCCTGTCTCCAAACCCTCCCTCCCCATCCCAGGGAGCATCGTCCCTGGATCTCCTCCTGCAGAGGGGAGAAGAATGAGGCCTGCAGGGAGGAGGAAAGAGCAGCGCTCTAACCTAGGCAAAGAAATTTATACCCCCACCTGGTAAAGGGGCTTCCTCTTGCTCGGATATTTACATATGGTAATGTTTAGGTATCTTAATTGCAGTGTTTATGATATCTCATTAGTCATTCAACAGACCATCCATTGTTCCACTAAGCAAACTGGCTGCACTGGAACTAAAACCACAGGTCTCTGCTGAAAGAAAAGAGTGTAGGGAAGGTGGGGAAAGAAATGCCTGAGGAAAAGGAAATTAGCATTTGCTGAGCCCAATCATTTGCCAGGTTTTATGACACGTGCCCTCACATATATTTTTCTCATTTAATCCTCACAGCATCCCTGCAAGGTGAGTGTTATGATCATTTTACCGATGAGGAAAGAGAAGCTGGCCAAGGTTCATAGCTTGGAGATAGGGCTCTAGTGACAAGGGATGAAGAGAGAGAAATGGAAGGAGGAATTTATTTTCCTGAAATCCGTGTTCTAAAATGTTTGGGCTTCCTTCTGCACCCTTATTAATCTTTTCCTTGTTTCTCAGTAACAGAGCCTATAGAAAAACTCCCGCTTTGTCTTAGCTGAAGTTACAAGAGAAAAATGTCTCCAAACTGCAGTCGATTTAGCAATGGGAATAGAGCTTACCACAAGTTAGCTGATGGGCAAGCAAAGAGAGGGGGACACTCAGCCTGGAGACAGCCACTGGAGAGGCTGGAGCCCAGGGGACTCCACTGCCCTGGGCCTTTAAGCTGTCACTCTGGGGATGGGACACATGAAGGAGTTAGGACAGGAGGTCTGGCAGGGAGGGGGACGGGAGGTCAGAAACTCTGTCTGGTCCGCAGACAAAGCTCTGCTTGCTTTCTCAGCAGGCTGGGCAGTTGCAGATAAATCGAGTTCGAGCCAGAGTCACCCCCCTGCCTATGACTCCAGCCCCTGGCAGAGCCCCCAAGATGCCAGCAGCCAGCAAAGCTTCCTCAGGAGTCTTCTTCCCGCCTTCCGCGGAGGAGGAGGAGGAAATGGAGGAGGAGGAATGTCCCTCAGGGCCCTAAGCCACCAGCACTAGAGCCCAGCTGCTCTGCTCAACCACATCCATGCCAAGGCTCACATAATGGCTTTCTGTGGCCAAACGTGCTTCTTACCCACCTGGGCCTGTGAGCTCCAGGTGACTGGGAAACAGAGCGTTCCCCTCCTCTGTCCTCAGTGCCGCCACCACCCCGCTCCTCAGACCAGGAAGCTCCCCCACACCATGAGCTTTTTCTTTCTCCATGCAAGGATTCATTTTCTTTTGGATCATTTGATATCATTAACAACAAACGAAGATTAAATACCCAGTAAGCCTCCACCATTGTTAGGAGCGTTCCCGGCCCGAATTTCTCCTTGTATTCTGTGTGAGCAGGTGGGTAAAGTCAGGTCACCTTTAGGAATCTGGAGCTCAGGAGACAAGAATAACGTTTTCAGAGCTCATGAAAAAGTAAGATTGAAAGCAAAGCTTCATTCCAAAGTCCATGCCCCTCCCAGTATACCCACCACGCTGCAGTTCCCTTCAGCCTCCAAACAAAAGGGGCTAGTCTTCAGTCCCTACAGGCCAAGTCTGTGTGTGTGGTCAGGTGCTGAGGGGAGTGGGGGACATCCTATAGCTGAGAACAGGGGAGAGGATGGTGTGAAAAAGACCTCTCCCCTTCCAAGCCCCCTCTGCTCACACCTGCCCAGTAGCGCTTCTCCATCCACAGAATAACTATCACTTATTTATAAAAAGCATACTCTGCACTTCAAATTGCATTAAGTACTCGAGAAATTTAATTCCTCTCATACAAACAACCCTGTGAGGTAAAACCAGTAATTAAATGTTCCCATTTTACAGAGGGGCAGTGGGGGAAACTGAGGGTTATGGATGATACACCCAGGGTCGCAGAGACAGGGTGGGCCTGACTGGACCACCCAGGCTCTGAGAGATCACACTGCTTGGCTCCCCTCCCAAGGGGCCCTTTCTTTCTTCAATGGCCCCCAACGCATTCCTGGTTCTCCTCCTGATCCCCTCCACAGCCACTCAGCATATCCTGCCACTCTGTTCCCTCTGGGACTATTCACACACGTAGACCTCTTAAACCCAAACTGACTTTAATGAGAATAAAACTTTTTTAAAAATATATATCTGGCAAACAACAGTGCAGGGGGAAGGATCCAGTCACAGCCCAGTGTCTCCCTATAGCCTCTATTCAGGACCTTCAAACTGCACCTTTTCTGACCAAACACCTCTTTCCATAGGCTGGTCCAGCAGCTATCCCTTCCTTTGGCGGGAATGACTTAGGGGTGCTGGCCTCCCCCATATCTCATCACTGAGCCTCTGCCAACTGTTCGACTTCCGTAACTTCTTGGACAGATCATCCTTCCCTTGACTCCCCTTGTTTCCTGGTCTCACGCAGGCCCTTCTGGTTACTGCTGGTTCTAATAGGTTTCTTTGTCCCCCAGTGCCACCTCCCCATGGTCCTCCAATCAGCAACCCCAGCCTTGCCCCTATGTCTCATGTGGAGCCCTCGGACTTGACCCCAGTCCTGTCAGTCGCTGCTCTAGAGAGCCCAGAGTCTCAGCTCCCTGAGGCCCCACTCTTCTGGACCTGGCTGTACAGGGCAGTGTCTGAGCTATCTTTGCTGCCATTGCCAGCTGCAGCACCAGATTCAGAGAAGGCCGGGCCCTGGGGCTTGGGGGCTGGGAAGGGCTTTGTGCTCCGAGGGGGTGGCACAGCATAGTCATCAGTGGCAGGGTTGTAGGGGAGCTCGTAGCCCTCCTCCTTCACCCGAGCCTGGCGCCACCATGCATCCTTGGGCTCCTGAGGCAGATCATAAAGGCCCCTGAGAGCAGCTGAGGCCAGACCCTCAGGTTCATCATAGATGGGGTCTTCTTTGGGGTCTGTTAGCTTGGCTTTCAGCAACTGCTGCTGCACATGCTCATACAAGTCCCAGTAGAGCGGTTTCTTTAATTGTACCCCCTCCTGAGCAGCAGTGCTGTCCAGGGGGTCTGAGTACAGGGAATCCTGGGAAGGGCCCGGAGGAACACGCAGGGAGTCTAAGGGTTCAGCATACAGCACTGGAGGGCTGCCTGGGAGCTTCTGGGGGCCAGGGTGGGAAGCCACCTTCCCCTCTGCCACTTCTTCATGGGAATCGGTTCTGAGAACACCCTGCCCCTGGCCAGCCTTTCCTTGGGCCTTCTGCCGGTGGATAGCAGTCTCAACCGCCTGAAAGATGTCATTTCCCTGTGCTGTCTGGAAGGTGAAGGTTCCAGGGCCGGAGGGGCAGCGGCGGCCAGCCTCAAAAGAGAACATGACCTAAAGAGGGTGTGGAGGGAAACACATTACCAGGAGCCACCAGAGGTGAGCCACGGGGCCTCAACCAGTTAGGGGGATCTACAAAGACAAGACCATCTGGGGAGGGAGGCTGGGGTCATGGGCTGGCAAGAAAGGGTTATCCAGAGGGCAGATCTTCCTACCTTCCTGTCCTGCCCAACCCATCCCACAGCTGCCCAACCCAGGGAGCCTGCCCTCCTTGACAACACCGCACCTTGTCGCGGCCATAGCGTCGCAACAGAGTGTAGGGCCAGTAAAGGAGCGGCTCCAGTATCTGGCTCTGGGCCCCCACAGTCAGGAGAGTCAGCCTCTCAGCCTCCACTCTCAGCACAAAGGAGCCATGCAAGCCACAGCGCTCGGCGGCTTCAGTCCTCTGCACGGTCACCCAGAACTGGGATCCTGGAAGGAATACACCATCAGACTGGCACCTGGCCGGGTCTGGGGTGGGGAAAGGGAGCAGGTTGTCCGAGCACACGCTTGAAAGCCAGTGCTCAGGAACTTCCTACTTCCCCTTGTAGCTATCACCGCCTTCCCGAGGACACCCTTCCCCACCCCCCTCCCTGCTGGGGCTTCTCAGGCATCTACCTTCCCACGTGGGGCTATACAGCGAGTTCTCCAGCATCTCCAGGGCGGAAAGATTGGGTGGGTTCTCGGCGGGCGCCAGAGCCCAGCTGCCTTTCTGGTGTCAAGAGACAGAGTACGGAGGAGACTGTCATTCCCTCAACGCTGTTCCCGGGGTCTGAGCCATCCCAGTTCCTCTCCCGCTGTAACAGCTCCCACCCCACACATCTCCTCTTGGGCCCAGTGCGGCACGCCCCCAGCCCCTCGCCGGCAGTCCCGGTCCCCCTCACCGGAAAGGCGTTTCTGCACAGCGTCTGCACCCAGGCGGCGCTGGACGGCGCGTCGGCCGCCAGCAGGTGGGAGCGCTGGGCGGTGTCCAGGCGGAAGGCTGCGGCGCCAGGCTCCGGAGGACTCTCCACCGACACGGGGGCCACGCTCACGCACTCCGCCAGGCGGATCACCTTACAATCCAGGCGGCGCGAGCCCCCTCGACCCCCTCCGGAGCTCGACCCCTTGTGGTCAAAGAACTCCAGCCGCGCGACGCCGTGGGGGCTGGCCGGGTAGAGCACCGCCCAGGTCTTCCTCCACCGCTGGGGAGAGAGAGCGAAGAGACTCGGGAGGGAGCGGGCAACCACCGGCGGCCCGGGCCCCGACGGGGAAGGAGAGACCGGCGCGGCCGATTTCAGGTTGAGGCCTCCCGACAGCGGGCGAAGTTTCCCAAGGCGGATGCCGCTCAGCTCCCCTGGACCAGAAAGGGAGCACCCGGAGGCCGGCAGACGCTTCTCCGGAGTGTGAGCAAACGACCTCAGCGGGAACGTCACGGGGCGCTCCAGCCCCGGGCGACGCGCTCCAACCCGCTGCCCGCCCCCTCCCTCCTTCTGGGCTCTACCGCCCACCCGTAGCTCTGATGGGGTTCGGCAACCCCTGCCCAGACTACCTTAGTACCGAAACGGTGACTCTGTAAGAAGAGCGGCCCTTCCATCACGG